TACTCATTCAAATGTATTCATATCCACTAATTTTTTCCCAGCTCTAGGTCCCATTACAATATAGAGATGAGAAAACACTTATCAATAAAGTAAAAAAGATTTAAAAAATCCTCTCTTATAAGGCTACTAATATTGGACACTAAATATTAGAAAGAGAAAATATGAACATGCAAAATTATAGTACATGTATATATTATAAATATATAAAATATTACTAAACTGAACTAACAAATGCCTTGTAAAGAAATATGACCACAAAGGATTTATTCTAGAAATGAAAGGATACTAGAATATTAAAAAATCTATCAAAGAACTTGTGATTATTCTTGGAAAATAGAATATAAATGCTTTCTTTGATCCCAAAAGAAAGCCTCCAAAATGATGAAAAGGTGTAAAAAAGGAGAAAATAAGAAGTTTGAAAAAAAGGGCATCAGACAAAAAATGTGAGTGAAATTCTGAAAACTGGAAAATAAATGAATCAGTAGTGAATCTTCAGCAAACTCCAGTAACTGAACACAAAGCCTTCAGGAAATAAATTGCAGAACCCTAGAAGACTCGGTTACTAGAAGAGCTAATTATCTTTCAAGGCAGTGACCAGAGGGTGCCTTTGATTACTGGAGGATTCATGAAAAGCATCCCCCAAAAGAGCATTTAATCACCCCTATTGTTTGCACCTTCTGAAGCAGGTAGAATTCCCACCTGGGGCACATCAACCTGGGTTTTCTTCACATTCTCCTTCTGTTTTACTGGTCCCCTTAGCAACCATTGTACCTCTTTCTACAAGAGTTTATTCCTCCTTTTTGTAGGTGTCAGGGTAGGGGGAAGTTGATAAATGTTGTTTATAAAAATCAGGCTTCCCATAATAGAGCAGACCCATCTAGATCTTCTCCAGGAGTGGTGGGCAGCTGATCAGTCATGAGAGAGGGGCAAGAACAGGACAGGAGAAGAAAGCACCAGGCACATGTCAAAATCCATCCAGTGTTTGTAAAACCTGTCTGAAGAAGACTGGAGCATCTGCTGCAGATGTGCTTGTGGTAAGTTTGAATCTTCTCTCTCTGCTTCTTCAGAACTGACCTGTTTCTCTGAAGTTATTTAACCACTTAACTTCTGCTGAAACAATTTGCAACAATGGCAGCTACCTTATTGAAGCAGGATGATATTGGGACATGGAGAACCACTGGTGCTTGCCCCATCTTTGAGAGCAAGTGCTGAAATTCATCCCCACACTTCAACCAATGATAAAGCTAATTCTAAAAAGATTCTAGGTGTCTTTTACTGACGTCTTTAGGGGAACAAAAGAAGAGAATCCCTGGCATAATACATAGCAAAACTTCATTAAACACCTTTCATTAGACAGATTTGAGTTTCTTGCAAGTAGCCTCATGAGATGAATGAGCATCAGCTCCCACCCTTCCTGAAAAATCTTCTCTCCAAATCGCTCTTCTAAGTGGAGCCATGTACCTCTTTCAGCTTCTTATGACTGAATCCTCACATATATCACATACATCACCCTGTTCAGCACACAGAGGGTCCTTCTCTAGATCCCTCCTCTTCAAAGTATGGGTGAGTTGTATATAATAAATGTTTTTCTTTTTCACTTCCACATTGATTTTCTCATTTTCCTCTCTTAACTCCCAATATGGCTCTTCCTCACCGCAGGGATTTCAGCACATGGCCCACAGTGTATTTTTTCAGCAGGTTATGTAGGCTGGAACTTTGGTTCCTGCCTGGAGCCAACAATTTCAGCAAGTGCCTCTTTTATCAGTGAAGTATCAAGGGTGTTCATTGCTGCCTAGTTGTGGCCAGATCAGAGCTGCTTCTCTAAAGCCTGTTCTTTCACAGCAGCTTTTAGCAAGGTTTAGAGTGGGGCTGTGTTCATTGCGTCTTTCATACAAAAGATATGGGTGTGTGGGCAGCCATGATTCTTAAGCTCATTCAAGGGTCTGGTTCCTTATTTGTGAAATGTGGAACAGAAAAAAAAATTTTATAGCGATATTAGGGGAATGATTATCCTAGGTCCATTCTTTTATCCAATCAGTGATTATTTTAACAGAATTTTTTCTCTGTTTGATTGACATGCATTTTACTGTATGTATTTAAATCGTGCAACTTGTTACAATGCATGCAAGCACCCATTATATTATAAACACAATAAGAATGATGTGCGTATCAATGAACTACCCCCAAAATTCCTCATTCTCCTTTCTAATTCCTCCCACTCCCTGTACACCCCCACCACCTTCCCCAGACAACCTCTGATTTGCTTTCTGTTGCTATAAATCAGTTTGCATGTTCTAGAGTTTTATATAAATGGAAGAAGATGGTAAATGCTTTTCTCTTCCAGGTTCTTTGATTCTGCATAATATTTTGAGGTTCATCCATGTTGTTAAGTGTACCAATAGGCTGTTACTTTTATTACTGAGTAGCACTCTACAATAATTTGTTTTCCCATTCACCAAGTGGTAGATTTTAGTTGTTTCTTGTTTGGAGCTATTATGAATAAAGCTGCTACCAAACTCATGTACAAGTCTTTGGGTGAACATATGCTTTCATTTCTCTTCAATAATTATCTAGGACTGGAAGGGATAGATTATATAGTAGGTATAAGGTTAACTTTTCAAAAACTCCCACACTGTTCTCCAAAGTGGTTGTATAATTGTATATTCCCACCCAACCAATTATTATTGAAGTTCTACTGTGTTCCAGGCACTCTTCTAGATGCTGGGGATATAGCATTGAACAAAGCAGACAAATAAGCAAGTCCTCATTCAGAAGAGTTAGTGTGGGTTCCAAGATGGTCTCTGGGAAGCAATCTTTGGAATTGAATATAGTATGCTGGATGTATATTACAGAGTTCCATACGGATGAACATCTGTAAAATGCAGGAGGGACAAGTAAGCCTTGGCTAAGGGAAAAGCCAGTCTTTGATGCAGGGCTAACGATAGCTTTTGCCCAACCTGTGTTGAGTTGTGGAACTATAATGTGCCACCAGATTTGCCAAGCACTTGGCCTAAGTGACTGGGCCTTTATACACTACCTCCATCAATGAAAAGCACCAGAGGGAAGGCAGGACTGTGGACAAGACAGCTCTCTACAGCAGAGGTTACCCCTGAAACCACTGACAGATGAAGGCTATCTGCTGATGTCAATGCCAGCCGGGTAGGCAACTAGTCCTTCCTTGAAGGGGACATCTAGGCAGCACGACTCTGTGTTCATCATAGTCTATCCTTTGCTCTAATTGGATCCACTTCTCCACATATGCCCAGGGAGCACATTCTCTAAAATCCCAGTGGTCTGTATTACTGTAGGAAACTTAGATGCAATTACCAGCCCATAGTGCTACTGCTGGTCTTGCAGCCACAACTAATGCACATCTCCTTCCTCCACTATCCATTTAAGATTCCCTTCATTTTTAACTCCTAAGTTTGATGGTCATAATAGGCTATAAGAAACATTATCTAGATTCACATCCCTGGTCACCCCAATCTCCCTGAATTGGGTCTCTCCCTTGTCCTTTTGCTGTCAAATCTGGGCAGGGCTGTACCAAAAAGCACCCAAAGGATCAATCTGGAGCCAAACATTTTTCTCCCTGTCCTCAATGTGTAATATCATCCCTGCCCTCTCCTGATGGTCAGAGTCCATTACCTCCGCCAGGATGCTGTCTCTTCTTTCTGAAGGATGGTTGAGGACAAAAGTGGCTGTTGTATCTTATAATTCAATATCCTGGAGTTCTAGGAACCATGCACCCCAATTTTTCCAACCAGGGGAAATGGAATGATGGCACATGTGGTCACTCCTGCTTACACTCCTTGTTTCTCAGACCCATGTATTATTCCCTTTGGGAACCAGAAGCATGCAAAAGTCTTTTACTCATGGTGTACACTGGGTCCTAGAGGATGACTTCCAATGCTACTAAAATATTGCCTCTGGACAGAAAGTCACCTGGGCCTTCAGCAGTCCATTCCAATCCTCTATTAGGCAGTGGGTTCTAGGTGATATAACATGCCATATGGCCACTGGATTAAATGATTATGGGTTTATTTCTAAGCCTTATTGCTGCACAGCAGGTCTCCTCATCTGATACGATGTTTTCTGGGAACCTCCGGACAGTGAGTCAAACATTCTGTATGCTCTCAGATGAAGGTCATGGCCGAGGCCCTCTAGGGAAACAATTACCTGGAATATGTGTATATTCCTCTCAAAAGCATGACTTACTAGGGTGAAAAGGCCCAATATATTAATTAATTTCTGTTTTTGAAAGGTTGGCAATTCAACAGCAGTGAAGTTATATCCACCTAGATAAGTCAAGGCTCATTCTCCTAGGCCCAGACATAGCCTCCATCTCTCCCACATGGCCACTTTGTACTTTGTTTATCCCATAAATATGGATAAACACAGTCATAAAAATATATCTGCCCAAGGACTTTGTGTAAACCTCCAACAACCAGTTGCTAAGGTTTTCCCCAAGCCATAGATGAACTCATGCTCCCAAGAAAATTCTCTTTTTCCCTGGATTGAAACCAATGTTACATGTTTCCTGATGGGGCTTGCCACCATGAAGTGATTGGTTTAAAATATCTTACAGGAAGGATGTATCTCTCTTCTTGGGTCAAAAAAATATTTAGAGGAACTGAGAGGCTCTCGAGTACATGCTTGGTAGCTCCGCGTTGATCCAGTTTCCTGTCCTCTAATGAGTCAGTAGCCAGCAAACTTATAAATGACACCATGGGCATATGTTAGTGGAGTATTGGCTTTCTACATATCCTAGACATCTCTCCAAGGAAATATATGTGCACTTTATTCATCTTCCAAAGATAATCTGAAATAGTTTAAGCCCAAGTGGTGAATAGTTACAGGCATTTCAGATTTATGAGATAGTTTGGGACCAGAAAGTTTTGTGGTTCCATGGTCTGACTTCTCACTTGACCATCTGTGTTGATGGCAGGCATCCTGTCCCAAATATATTTGCATTAGAACTAGGCATTTCCCAATGAATATCCTCACAAAGCTGAAATCTCCAAGAACTGTTCCATTGTTTGAGCCCATTGGAATTTATCCTTCACATTCTTATATCTTTCTGTAACTCTCATGTATGCATTTCTTTTTCTCAACAACATGATGAGCTTCATGAAGACATCTGACAGGAATCTGGAAAGTTTTCATAACAGTGTTATGCTGAGAACATAAATGTTGACTGTAGTGATTATATGTGTAAATGCATCCATCAAAGTTTATCAAATTATTGACCTAAATTATACACATTATATGGAACATAAATTATAGCTTAGTAAAGCTGATTATACAAAGACTTTGTATCCCTTCCAGAATCTGGAGCTGTGATCTGCTCCTATGTGTATTTTTCAATTAAAACATTGTCAAGTTGTACAGTTGGATTTTTTCTTTGTCTGTTTGTTTTGTTTAGTTTTTGCTGTATCCAAGAATATTCTCAGCAGCTCCAGAGTTATGTATCCAACCACATGGCCCGATCAAGATTTTTCATAGGTTCCACAAACTGACAGAACTGTCAGTTTCCTGGCATCGATCCAAGCTAGTTCTCCATTCACTTCCCCATCTACTCAAGCCACCCTAAACCAGTAGCAAAGATCCACATTTCAAGAGACACATTTTATTCCTTCCTATTGCTCACCACAAATATGGACTTTGTCAGCGAGTTCAGTACTTCCAGGGTTTATCTCATTTCAAGCTGCTCTCACCCCTTCCATTGGTAAGAGCCTGCTCCACGCCACTGTAACCTCTCACACTCATGTCTGTAGTAGACTCCTAACTCGTCTCCTTGCTCCTACTGTTGCTCTATTTCAATATCTTCTCCAAAGAAGTCACCTAGAGTGAACATTTATAGAGTAGATTACAATAATATCCCTTTCTAAAATGTTTTTTCTTTATTGATACTAGAGAGAGAGGAAGGGAGAGAGATTGATGAGAAATAACATCGATCGGCTGCCTCCCACATGCACCTGCACTGGAGATCAGGCCCACAACGTGGGCATGTACCCTGATCGGGAATTGAACCAGCGACCTCTTGGGGCATAAGTTAATGCTCAACCACTGAGCCACAATGGCCGGGCACCCTTTCTTTCTTAAAGGCCAGTGGCTCCACCTTAATCAGAACAAAACCTAGAGTTGACATTTTTTGATCTGACCCTTCCTACCACTCTAACCTCATTACCTAACAAGGTGCTTCCAATGCACATTGGCATCCAACCTGCTTCCTAAACATGCCGAGCTTGTTCATACCTTGGCTTTGGATCCTTCTTGAGGTTTTCTCTGCCTAGAGTGCCCAGTTCCTGGATCTCACCACTGCTGGCTTCTTCTTGCTAGTTGACTATCAGATTAAAATCACTTCTTCAGAAACCCTTTGCTGCCCTCCCCACCCTAGGCATTTTGAATCACATTTCCCCCAAATATTTTCTTACTAACACCTAACTCTTGAGTGTATAAACTCTTCTTGAATGTAAGCTCAGTAAGAACCAGGATCATGTCTGTCAGGTTCTCTGCTTTATCTCCAGTGTCTATCACTGCCTCTCATATCATTGGTATCCAATAAGAATGTGTTGAGTGAATGCACGAGTGAATGAATGACATAGTTTAAACATATGTATGCTAAGTTGTGACAAGCCAGGCATAGTCCAGAGCAGGGTATTTGGGAGGATGGTGGTGCCAACTGGGGTGTCACTAAAGCAGCAGTATTGTTTGAATGCATGAAAATTGTGGGTGGAAAATTGGGTAGAGAGGTCACTATAGTTGAGGGCATGCTTCTAGCTACCTTGGGTGTACAAATGTAGTATATATACTATACTGATTCTCCTTCTTTCTTTACATTTTTATTTATTTCAGAGAGAGAAAGGGAGGGGAGAGAGAAACATCGATGAGACAGAAACATCGAGTCATTGGCTACCACCTGCATGCTTATGCTCCCTGCTGGGAATCGAGCCTAGAACCTGAGCATCTGCCCTGCCCATGAATAGAACCAGTGAACTCCTGGTTCAGGGGATGATACTCAACAAACTGAGCTACACTGGCTAGGCTCTCCTTCCTTCTTTTTTAAATTTGTTTTCTTTAGTGATTTTAGAGAGAGAGGAAGGGAAAGGGAGAGAGAGATAAAAACATCGATGAGAGAGAACATTGACTCACTACCTCCTGCATGCCCCTCACTGGGTATTGGGCCCACAACCTGGGCATGTGTCCTGATTGGGAATTGAACCTGCGACCTCTTGGTGCATGTGTCGATGTTCAACCACTGAGCCACGTCATCCAGGCTCTCCTCCCGTCTTAATAAGAGAATCCCAAATCTACTTGGGACAGTGACGTTCCCAGTAACACTCCTCATTTGTAGCCTCCTTCGCAGCTAGGTATGGGCATATGAGCAACTTCTGCCCAATTAGGTGATTACAGAAGTGTTGCGCGGCAGTTCCAGGAAGACAGGTAAAAGGGAGCTGCATTTCTCACACCAGAGTGTTTCTCACACCATTGCTTGTAGACTGAATTGTGTCCCACACAAATTCATATATTGAAGCTCTAACCCGCAGGACTTTAGAATGTGACTGTTTGCAGAAAGGGCCTTTAAAGAGGTGATTAAGTTAAAAGGAGGCCATTGAGGTGGGCCCTAATCACCCCTGATTAGTGTCCTTATAAGAGGAGTCTAGAACACACAGACAGATACCAGGAGTGCTTATACACAGAGGGATGACCATGTGAAGAAGGTGTAAGAGGGTGGCCATCTGCAAGCCAAGGAAAGGCCTGAGAAGGAAAAAAACTGCTGGACACCTGGATCTGAGACTTCCAGCCTCAAACAATGAGAATTAAATGTCTGTTGTCTAAGCCACTCTGTGCTATCTTGTTATGGCAGACCCAGAAAACTAATACAGTATCTGAGATGGGTTTCAATTTTGGCAACTAATTGGAATGAACTGAGGAATGTTAAGTATACTGATGATTGGACCCACCCCTAAAGATCTGGTTGAATTGGTTGAGTCTGGGCATTAGAAGGGACACTAATGGATGTTCTGTGTTGAAACCCACATGTATAGAATAGTTTCCTGGATCCTATAGAGCTGGATGGCAATGATTAATCTGTCGTCCCTTGGAATACAGTCCCTCTGTATCTTGCCGCTTCCACTGTTATCCCCCACAGCACACATCTCCCTCCCTGGCTCTACCAAGGTCCTCACAGATGGAACCAGAGATTCTCCCACCTGTTAGTCCTGTGCCATGTCTGGGATCCATCCTAATTCGAGATGCATTAAGTTGCTTCAGCCCCACTTCTGCCCTCCCAGCTAAGAAAAATCTCAATAGTCTCACATTCTCTTACTCTTGCTTGTTAGCCTGAGTGAACACAGCTCCCTAGAGCTACATCTGGCCACTTAATCTAATTAGAGCATGAGCAAAAACATGAACTGACAATTAACTTTTGGTGACTAGGCACATGAAAAGATATTCAACATATTTAGCCATCATGGAAATTTAAATTAAAAACACAAAGAAACATTAAAGACACCTATCAAAATAGCTAAAAAATATGGACACCACCAAATGCAGGCAAAGCTAGATATAGTAACTCATATGTTTCTAATGTGAATGCAAAATGGTACAGGTGCTGTCCAAAACAATTTGGAAGCTTCTTTCAAAACTAAACATGCAACTACCATATTATACACCAATCACACAAAGGCAGTTTGCCCAGAGAAATGAAAATTTGTGTTCACACAAAAACCTGTATATGAATGTTCCTAACAGTTTTATTCATAATACTTAAGAAGTGAAAACAGCCCAGATGGCCTTCAACAGGTGAATAAACAAGCCAGGGTCCATACATACCATGGCATCCTACTCAGCAATAAAAAAGGAACAGACTGTGGATTTACTTAACTTGGGACGGCTCCAGGGGAGTTATGCTGAGTGAAAGAAATCCATTCCACAGGTTGCAAACTAGAAGATTCCACTTACATGACATTTTAAAAATTATGAGTGTTTAAAAGAGGTTAGGGGTGTGGAGCCCAGGAGAAGTTGTGCTCTGGTATAAAAACTAGCATGAGGCAATGTTGTGATGAGGAAAGAGTTTTGTATCCCACTTCTGGTGACAGTTACAGAATCTACTTTGCAGTATGAGTGCACAGAAACGAGTGCATGTAAATCTGGTGAAATCTCAGTAAGCTCTGTGGACTGTACCAAGAGCCATTTCCTGGTTTGATATCATACTCTAGTAATGCAAGGTGATATTATTGGGAGGAGGTGAGTGGAGGGTACAAAAGACCTGCATGCACAATTTTTGAAACTTCTGGTAAATCAATAAATATTTCAAAATTTACAAGTTTAAAAAAACAACACCGGATTTGTGGGCAAAATTAGGGTCAGGTACACAACACTCAAAAACATTGTCAGTGACAATTTTGAAATAAGTCAAGAAGCTAATAAAAAGGTTAGCATGGTTTTAGACCAGTGAAATGATTACGGAACCCATAAATACTACAATAAATATGGCACTCTACTTGATAAAGATGCTAAGTTTGTTTATAGAAGTGAGTGTCACAGCTTGTGAGTTACTCTGACATGGTGGCTAGAAGGCTATCAGGGTACAGACAGCAAAGCTTGTGTTTTAAGGTAGTCCAGAAATGGAGTCCCTTCTCTATAATTTTCAAGCACTGTGAAGGCCTGATATAAATGCTAGAGGCTGCCATGAATGAAGGGGAACACTGGACCTTCTGGTCCTGGCCCCATTGGCTCATGGTTGGGACAGGGAAAGAGCAATCCAAGACACAAAACATACAATGTGCAATGTAACTCTTTAATATGAAAACAAGCCAGGATTATGAGTGGGAACAGCACAGAACAAATCGCAGGCTTCAAGGTAAACTTTGGCTTTCTAGTCAGTCGTGCTACATCCTTAATTAGGAATGTGGCCTCAGGTTAGAAGAGCCATATAACAAAAGAGATTAAGAAGATAAAAATGAGAACACCTAAGGGCTCCTTTCCCAGGCTTCGTTTACAAGATTCTCTGTCAGTGCATGAAGGCCTCTTCTGGGATCATGCCCTTCATCTAGAGAAAGTCAAGAGATCATTGAGAAGACAGCAGAGCAAGGAGCCCTGAGAGTCAACCCCAGGCCACCTTGCTGAACACTTGGGGACCCGTTTCCCAGAGTTCACTTTTTACTAAGTAAAGAATTTTAAGTTTTGGTATCATCTCTTCATTTTATTAAAAGCACATGTGGCAGGGGAGGTCCATTTTGTCTGGACCAAAGTGGAGACACTTTGACCACACAATATCAGTGCTAAATCAAGTCTATAGAAAAAAGCCTCCAAGTTTACCAAGATTCTGGTATACACCAGAATTACCAAGTGGCACTGCAGGTAATACTGAAAAAGCACTGAAAAGTCAAATATCTATCAATAATAGCGTACAACCTACTGGAAATAAATTGCTTAATATACAGATTTAGCAGGAACAAGGTAGCTTAACCTATACTGGGAGAAAACTAGGCCGGTGGCTGTAATTAATAAAGAAGAGAAGTTTCAAAACGATGTGTACAGTATGAAAAGTGGGTTTTATATTCAATGTATTAGCATAAAATTAAGGTATCTTCACAGGTGAACTTCTGTAAGAAAAAAAATAGATATAAAATAATTACCTACAAGTTCCCCCTATTCAATTCTCCCAGCTCCCTCCTTTCCCCGTGGATACCCAACACTCACTTCCAAGACCACTAGAGGCTCATCCCAGATAGAATGGAGGAAACCTGTACCACTTCCTCCTGCTCCTGAGACAGGGTGGGCCCAGTGCTGCTGGAGGGTGTGGGCACTTGGGTGGTCAATCCACTCTGAGTCTTGGTGGGGGTGACATCCCTCACAAACAGCTCCTCGTTCACAACACACAGACTGGAGAAAAATGGGTCTTCAGACAAACTGATGGATAGATAGTGCTGCACCCTCAACAATGATCCTGCTCCCAAGGGCACTCAGCAACCAGATTCCTCCTATACACCACCTGGGCCTGCCCCCTCCATTCCTTGCCTGGTATCTCTTCTCCTCTCACAGACCCCACCTTTGAAGAAAATGTCTACAAGCTTCACTAGACTTCTACATCAACCCCATTGCATTTACTCTATTAAACAGCCCAAGGGAGAGGACAGTCTAATCCCATTTTCAGAGGAAAACAAAGTGTTTCAGAGAGTTCATGTGATTTCACTCAGGTATCAATCTAGTGAGTGTTGGGGTCACGAAGAGGACATAAAGGAAACCTGGAACACTATCAGTAGTCTAACTCCAGACCCATGCTCTAAACCCCTATGCAGTCCTGTCCTTGGATCTACCTGTTGGTTTCCCACAACACTGAGAAAACCTCGAGGACATGCACTGGCACATTCTCACAGGCCTGAGCACAGGCTGGGCTGCATGTTCCCTCCCAGAGCACAGCACTCACCTGGAATTGCCGGCAGGGGTGGCGATGAAGGTCCGGGTGAAGGCACGAACAGAACCCTGAGAACTTTCTTCCATGTCAACAACAACAAACAATAACCCCTTGGAGCCATGCTTGACACAGTCATGCAGTGTTCCCCAATCAGGGTGGGAGTTGGTACTCATGCCAAGGGGAGTTCTTTTCACTGGTGGTGAGGTTGTTGGGAATGGGAAAGACAAAACATAGCAATCTGCTCCCACTGATTTGGGCCCTACTATGTGCCAGGCCCTGGGACAACTACTTCATTTCATTTGATTCATTTTTTTGCAGCAATTGAAGAAATGGGTATTAGTCTCACTTTGCAAATGAGAAAAAATGGGAGGTGAAATAATGGGCCCAAGTTTGCACAGTCAGGATCTGGGATTATAGCCATCAAATCCCACATCTGTGTCCCCCAAAGTCCCAGCTGTGTGGGACTGACAGGCATGGATGCTGGTCTGACCAGGAGGGTTTGGGGGCAGACTGGAGGCAGGAGAACACAGAGTGAATCATAAGGAAAGGGAAGGGATCAGGGAAACTGAGAGAGTTCTGAGAGGGAGCCCAGCCAGGGGGAGGAGAGGTGGGGCATGTGGGAAGGGAACTCTACACACACTCACCTTCCCTGAACACCCCACTGACACAGAAGAAGAGCAGACTTTCCTGAAAGGGAACAGCAGAGGTGCTCAGTCACCAACCACACCTACACACCTGCCGCTTAAAGGTCTACGTGGAGGACAAGAGGATGCTCACCGACTGGAAGAACATGTCCACCAGGAAGGAGCTGAGGTCATGCTGAGTTTTTGGCAACACACAGAGGGAGCTCACAATGTCATGTTTTGTATGTTTCAGCAGCTGAAAACACAGGTCTGTGGGGGAAGGACAGCAAAGTTCAGGGTTGCCTCTCCCTGGGCCCTATGACTGACCCTTTCATGCCCCCTTCTCTGGTCCAATCTTCCCCATCCCATACGCACTTGGGTCCTTGAGGTTCTTCATATTCCTGTTATCCTTGAAGTACTCAAACAAGCTGCTTCTAGGAGAAAAGGAAATTAAAAAAAAGATGTGGTCTGGCCAGTGTGGGTGTTTCCATGACCTGGCCAGTTTCTGTTGGGGAGACACAAGCCCCAGAATCAGAGTCTGAGCTGTGATACTCACGTGGCTGGGTCATCCCAGCTGAAGGGAATGGTCAGGGAGAAGCAGGCTTCATCGTGATAAGCACCAAGGAGATGCTGTCTGTCTCCAGAGTCATAGATCAAGTAATATCTGTGAGGGGACAATGAAGACAGTTTAACTCTATGGCATGGACCTCAAAGGGGACTTTAAAACTCTCAGGAGCAGACATGTGGTTGGATGGCCCAGACTATCCCTGCCCTCCTCCCCATTCCTCATGGTCTCCGGAGTACTCACTGCTGTAGGAATTGCAGGACTTGAGTCTTCAGAACATCAGATCCTTTACAACTTTCCTGGAATCAAAGACATTTGAGACCATGTGGCTGATGAAGCCTCCCCTACATTAGCCCAAATGCTGATCTTTCTTCCTCACCTTCAATGGCTTGTTTATGTAGGGTCTGTCAATGTTAACAGTAGTTGGTGGGGGTAAATCCTGGCCATCCTGGAGAAGGGAAGAAAAGTTAGCCATGCAGACCAGGGAGGTGGTTCTGGATGACTAGGGGAAAGGATGGGCCCAGGAGACAGTGAAGGTCAGAGCTGAGGAGTGAAAGGCCCCAGGAAATTCCATGGGGAAGATTCCACTGGGTGCATCATGAGGGTTAGGGTCCTGCAAGTCTCTACTGTGTTATACACAGTGTGTGTATGTGTGTGTGTTCACATGCATGTGCACGCGCGCATGTGTTTCTTTCTCTCTCTCTCTCCTTTCCTCCCACACTCTCTTCCCTGTCTCTCTTTCTACCTGTCTCTCTCTGTGTACATTTTTCCAGAGATTATTCATATTCAAATCTTTTACAGAAGTCCATGTTCCCCAAAATGGATAAGGGTCTAATGCACACATGTAATCTAGGCAAGACACAAAGGGCTGAGGGCAAGTGTGGAAGTTGTCAAGTTAATAAGAGGTGATAATGAATGCAGGCACTTACCAAGCGTAACAACTTGGGGAAACATTTCCTGATGGCTCTGTCCGAATTCAAAAACAGAAAGAAGTGGTTGACAGTATGGGTTGCAATGCTCACATTTACTTAAAACACTGATGGCCTGAACAGAGATAGTGTTCTGCCCAGCCAGGAGCCCCTTTGGACTCCTCAGCCTCTGATTTTAAGGCTTCTGGGTCCACTTCCCTGCTGAGCACTGACCATCTGCCATATGGGATCTCTGAAATGCAGTGTGCTCATCGCTCTTCACACCTCCACATTCATATTACCTTCTTATTACCTCCATATTACCTTCCTCCTTCACTCTCTTTTCCCTCACTCTCTCCCTCTCTCACCTTTTCCCTCCCTCCCTCTCCTCCCTCCTGGTTAGTTCCTGCCTACAGGACTCCTTCTCCAGTGCCACAAGACACAGCATTTGGATCCCAGACTCCAGGGCTTCTTCCTCTTCCCTGCCTCCCTTCCTCCTTCCAGGCCCCTTCTGATGGATCTCGGGAGAAGAGGGAATGGGGTAGGGGCCCAGGGCTCTGACATCTCACTGGGGGTCCAGTGTCCTGCCAGGAAAAGAACATGTCCCAGGGATGGAGCAGGATGCTGGGGCACGGAGGTGAGGAAGAGGGGTATTAGGAGTCACAGAGGGTAAGGGAGGAGGATGAAAACAGAGAGAGTGAAGATAAAAGTTGAGATTGTGGAGACCTAGAAGAGTAGACACAAGGGAGAAACAGAAAGAAAAGGGAAGGGAAAGAAGTTCTTCCCTGGCTGTGAGGGTGAGGATCAGATAAGGGGAGAGAAGAAAGGGGATATGGTAGCCGTTTCCATCATCTGCCCCTGGCTGTCCTGGGACCCGAGGTAGGAATCAAAAACATGGACCTGTTGGCCTCAGGGCCATGGGATTCTGGTTGAGCCTTTGTCACCTGTGGGAGCTCAATCTGAACTGGGCCTGGGGAACACAACAGCCACAGGATCAGGTGAACTTCCCTAGAAGGACTAAGCATCATGCCCCAACTGAGCTTGGCGTTGGGGGTCTGTGGCCCCCTCTTAGGATCATCACCTTCTCTCCTCAAAGCCCCTGTGCACCACTGCCTGCCTTAGTTGGTTCCTTGCCAGAGGAATCCTACCTGTTTTAGGCTACCCAGGGCTCCTCTGAAGGACCTGGCAGGTGATGTGATGTGTGGAGAGAGGGTCAGTGTCCCTGAGAGGACTGTCCTTCTGTCTCCTCAAACCTCTCTGCCCTCATCTTTCCACTGTTGCCTCGAGAGGCCCTTTGATCACTGGCAGTGGCTCACTTCTGGCCCTGACTGAGGGAACCCTGGATTCTCCCAAGGATGGCCCATCCCTGGTATTGCACTAAAGAAACGGAAGTCATGATGACGGCCACTTGGGGCCCCGGACATTGGCGTGGGTTGGGAAAGTCTTCATGCCAACTCGAGATTTGAGGGGAAACCCTTTAGAAACAAGGGAAAGAAGGTTCCTCCTTCTTAGGGATACTCTATCATTTCAGCAGCAGGAAGGACTGTCTCAGTATGAGTTGTGGTGGAGGACGTTTCTCAGCCCAGATCAGCAGTATCTGCCTCGAGGCTCAACACTCCTAGTCCTAGTGATGGGGCGGGGGAACCCTGCATTCTTTAGCACATTCTTGGGTGGACATGGCACAGAAAACCAGATTCAGAGTCAGGAACAAGACCCCAGATCATGACAACAGATGAGCAGGTCAGAGGAAGGATAGAGACCTCTAAGCACAGGTGAGGGACAGAGAAGAGAAGGTGGGGCCTGTGATCCTCCCAGAGAACCAGGGCTGCCACCTGCTGTAGTGGGGAACTGTCAGGGGTAGTTCAGGCTCCCAGGAGTCAAAGGTCCCCAGGAAGAGTGATGGGTTCACACTGACCTGATGTATGTGGATTGGTCTGGGAAGGTGCGGCACAAAGGGTTATCTTTCAGCCACAGCTCTTCAAGCTTCAGGCCTTTGATCTTGCCCAACTCCCAGGTGGATTTCAGCTGAGAAATATGGGGGAAAATTGAAAAATAGTCCAGGGTGCAGAGAGACATCCAAGGCCCTGCACCCACAGTCCCCCCCCCACACACAAGTATATGTGCTTGCCTGCCATGATCACTTTATAATCACCACCATTCACTCTCAACTCAAGTTTGAGCTGTCCCTCTTCTCACCTCATTTTTGGAGAGGTTCAGGATCTTGACTGTGGGAGCCATCTGTATAATATCAGACAGGCCATCCAGCTGGTACAGTCTGTTGTTGTACAAGTTCAAGGACAACAGCTTTAGGGAAGAAAAGTTAGAGTAACGATTACGATCTAGGATCTAGGACCTCAGAGACAAATCTGCCTTCCATCCCATCTGTTCTACCCCTACCATAACATCAGCACTGGGTCTAAGGTCTCACCTCAGGGAAATTCTTTTCGATGATCTGCAGGGTGGCAGCCATGCAGCTTCTCCGATTCAGGATTATATCAATATCAAGGTGTGCAAAGCCTTTGGGGAGGTGAGAGTAGGGAATCACAAGGCTGCCAGGGGTCCCAGAGCAGTACCAATCCCTCCCTCATTACCAAACCTAATCTCCCTCCCAGGGAGAACCCTCTGCCTTCTCCTGCCCTGGAATTACTGCTGTCGGTTGTACCTGGGTCAAAGCGAAGCTTATGAAGGTCAAGAGCTTTGTGGAACACATCATATCGTTTGTTCATGGTCAGCTGCAGAGGGAGATGAAGAGAGAGCTCTGAGGCTGTGGTGTTGACTGGGAGGTTGGGGCTGGAGGAGGAACAGGTAGGTCTGAGAGTGGGCACATATATGCCTTGAGTCTGCATTACCTTTAGCTGCTCCATTTCTTCTGGCTTCAGTTTATCCTGCACAGAGTAGGGTACAGCAGAAGTACTGACAAAAATAGCAATCTGTAGGAAGAAGACCTGAGATAAGAACCAGCACCTCTAGTCATACAGGAGGTGATCAAGCCTGTCTGTCCTCCTGCTTCAGGACTGAGTAGAGATAATGACCTTGACACACACCTTTTGGTTCTCCTCATCACAAATCTTGTAGCTGACATCCTTCAAGGCAGAGGCAGCACTAGCATCCTGGACAAAGAACCGCGCCCTGTTTTGTGCATAGTGAAACTACAGGGATTCAAGCAACAGCAATAGTGTCAGAGGTCAATGGCCCCAACTAAGCCACGTCTCTCCCCCTTCCCTGTGCCCCCTCATCAGGATTCTCCATCCTCTCTTACCTCCACTGGAATGAAGGGGACACTGCAATGGCTCTGAATGGAATCCATTAGCCATGTCCTGTCGTATTTTCTTGCACATGGAACCTAAGGGTCAAAAGAAGGGCACAGAGACAGGACAGAAAACATGAAAAAAAGCTACAGAACAGATGCAACATAGTGTTCTGTCCCTACCTTCTACTGAGCTTTAAAAGGCTTCTAAACAAGGGACCACTGGCATGATTTCTTGTTTGTGCCAAATAAGGAGTTCTTAAATACATTTTCTCTCCATTCAAAGTGCTCTTTCCGGTAATCAATTTAAGGTGTTAGACATTTTCTTCCTTTTACAAAGTTCCAGGAAATCCTGTCTGGGACACTGCTTGCACCTCTGAGGAGTTTTCCAGAGACTTGATCCCCCATCTCCCACACTCAGCTTGAACCAAACAGACATCTAGTGTTGTCTTGCTCCATTTACTTGGCAGTAGTTCCACCTTTCCCTTTAGACAGCTTCCTCTGCTTTCCATAGAGTCAGTCTGTTTCCTTATATTGCTTCTCTGAATTTGCCCTTAGATGAGTAAGTGTTAACAAGGACAGACTGTAAACAGTACCCAGTAAAGTGTCTGTGTCTCTACATGAGACCAACACAGTCTTCCTGACCTTTCTCTCCTCCACACTGCATACATTTTTTTCAGGATACTCACTGTGATCTTGAACCAACTCTCCAGGGTTCGATCTTGGGTGTTTTCCCCCATTTCTCTCTTGACATGTTTTCTATTGGTCCACACAGTGACACACAGATGGCCTTTGTTATGCCACTGCACTCTCCTCTTGTTGTGTCCCAAGGTATAGGGAGTGCTGCAGGAGGAAGCAGAGAGAAAAAGGGTGGACATAAATGCTAAGGAAGTCTTCTATACACCCTTGTGTCTCTGACACCAGGACTGCATTTAGGATTGCTTGACCATGATTTCACTTCTAGCATTCTTCAGCTTTCCAGTGAGAGAAAAAAAAGAAAACCATGGAGAGTGAAAGAGTTGCACAATCCCATAGGCTGCTACATGCAAACCAGGCTGCCTGGTCACTTACTGTCTTGCTTGGTACTTCTGGACTCCCCTCATCTCCCCATTTCCATTATCCTTATGGGGGTGTGAAGTTTGAAGTTCATATCCACCACGTTGATATCGACGGGTACTCTTGCCAAAATGACCTCGGAAAGTACTCCAACCTTTCTGTCTTCCTTGAGGTGAGCTACCTTCATCATTGTCTTCTGAAACAAGGAACAAAAATACAAGTTTGGAGACGTATCTGTGTTCACTTACTGCATAGCACATCTTAGGCTAACACCACGCTAGGGCAACAAAGTGCCAATCTGCCCTAAGAGACCAATCCCACAAACCCCAGAAAAAACACCTCTGCCTGTCCAGATAGAACAGCCTTATCTGACAGATGGTGCTACCAAGGCAGAAGTGGTTCAGGATGAGGAAAGGGGAGCAACAGGGGGAGGAGGAGGGGAGAGGAGAGGAGAGGAGAAGAGAAGGAATAAACTGTGGAACCTTTTACAAAAAGGAGTAGGATTTACAAAGAACAGAGGTGTATGAGTCCATTAGTTAGACTGGACGCCAGCCATACATCAGGAAGGCATGTAAATCTTGCCTCTTTTAGAGCTCTCTAACAACTCCACCAACACATCCGAAGCAACCTCTCTCCATGCCTCCCAAACCCAATCAAGCCAGCACACCGATTTCACTGAGTACTCAGCCAGTTGTGCTTCCTTTGACAGTGTGGTGCAAGCTTTCATGCCAGATGGAACGGAGGCAACAGCTTCCTAAACTGTCATCCTCCCTCCCACCTTGACCCCAACTATAGTCCATCTGAAGTATCCAGAGTGAGCTTTCTCTTGCCCAGTTTGAAATTTCTTTGAGTTTAGGAGACAGCTCTTTCTAACCTCAGCTCTTTTGTAACAAGGGTCTGGACGACAAACTGGAATGATGTTTCAAAAATCAATTTCCAAATCACTGGGTATTTTTCTTTTCACTTTCAATTATCAATTTCCAATTTGATGCCTCTATGGTTAGAGAACATACTCTGTGTTATTTCAATTATTTTTAAACTTGTGGAAGTTTATTTGATGGCACAGGGTTCACCTGTCTTGGTGAATGTTACAATGACACTTGAAAAATACTGTATTCTGCTGCTGTTGGGTGGAGTGTTCTATTTGTCATGTAGAACCTGTTAGTTTATTGTGTTCATCTGATCTCCTCAATGCTGATTTTCTCTCTAGCAATTCTATCACCTGCTGAGAGGAAGTCTTGAAGGCCCCAACTGTTATTGTGGACTTGGCTATGTCTCCTTTCAGCTCCATCAGTTTTTGCTTCATGTACCTTTTGGCTCTGTTGTTTGGTGCATACACACCTAGGTCCCTCATGTTTCCCTGGTGGATTGGTCCTTTTATCAGTATGTATGCCTCTCTTTCACAAGTCTCTTGCAAATTGTCTACTTTATTGCAGATTGTAGCCACAGGTATGCTCATAAAGAGCCTTGGCTATACTGCACTCTACATTCACTCCTAGGAGTTGTGTTGCTGTCCACCTCTCCCCTGACAGATACTCCTGGCAATGTATGTATTTTACCATGTGGAAGGATTTGGCAGTTTTTCATGGCATCTACAGAAATTAGGTAGTCTCCATTCTCTCTCTCATGCATGGATTCATCCAGGGTATTCTATGTTTACCACATTCCAATGAAACGATGTACCAGCAGACATCACTGGTGGTTTGGGGGGAAAAGGAAGATAACGGGAATTAGACTGTTAAAAACAGATTCTTTGGGGGTCTCATATTTAATGTTCTCTGGGTTTGTGTGTTGTACATTTTGTACATTAATTACTCTATGTTGACTCAGGGCCTCTTATGAGTAAAAATCCGTTCACTGCTGATCATTCCACAATGTACTGAAGGCAGCCAGGCCTCAGACTCACTCCTCTGGGGAGTCTTTGCTGTCAGTGTGTGATCCACTGTCAGGACAATCCTGTAACTCACAGCCTTTGAGAACTATCCTGTATGGCAGTGGAAATGAAATTGAACATGGCTGGAGCATCTGACCCAGAAATATCACTCGCTCAGTCCCCAAAACTTGGAGGACCTCTAGAGTGCTTTCTCTCACACACCACATCCCAGGGATCAGGAAATACTCTAGGCCCCTCTCCCAAGTCTATCCAGATCTAGCCATTTCTCACCACCTCCGTTACTACCACTCTGGCCAAGACAGATGGGGAGGAGGCAAGGATGAAAGCAGAGGGACCAGTTGGAAGGCAGCATAATCCAGGACATCCATGTTGGTGCCTTGGACAGAGCATAGGTTCCATCACTTTACTCTGCTGAAAACCATATAACAATGCTTTGAAGCCCATCAACATGGTAAATACTCATTACTTCATAATGCTGATAAATAAGCATAACAACAACAATAAAAAGGAACCTTTTTGGTGACTTTTGATGAATTCCAGGAACTCAACTGATTCTCTTGAAAATCCATCCGTGAAAGGAAAAAAATTCAAATATTACAAAGAGGAGTAATGGCAGGATGTCAGCATATGGTGTATGGGAAGAGCCCGAGCCATTTTCAAAAACTGACATTACTTTACAAATAGCATCACTGAAGGGAAAGTGTAAAGGTGAGCTAGCTAACAGCTTCAGCAATGCCCAGATCAACCAACTAAGTATTCCGGTGCCTAAAGAGGGCCAGAGCCGTTCCTCATCAAGGTAATTGAGACACAGGTGAGCGCAAGCATGGCCATGTTTGGGAATCTCTGAGGACAGTGAGCTTGTGATATAAGACACAGAGGGACAGTCCCACCCCCCCCCCCACACACACACAGACAAACACACACACATCCACATACTGAACATTTGCATCTTAGCACCACCATCCCTGTCTCACAATCTTGCTATCAGAATCAAAAGTGATGAGGTATTATAAACCAGCTAGTGCGTCTCATCCAGGCAGTCTGGTTACCTCCTCAAGCTCCAGAAGGTATTAGCTGATCTTCCCACAAAGAAATAGTTGTGAGTATCCTTTAAGACATCATGTGTGTATGTATGGTACTTCCTGTGTCATTTTGGAATTCTGCCTACATCATTGCTATGCCACTGAGTTCATGGCACGGCATCCCTGCCATAGTAGGGAAGGAATGCTGTGAGAAGGAAACCCACACTTGCCCAGCAGCAACCAACATTTGCTCAGTGTTGGGCAGACTCACTAGATTTCTTTGGTCTCCTTAGACAAGCGCCAAGGTAGCATATTCATGGTCCCTTTTCATAAATATTAGGCTCACAGGCGTTAATTAGAATTTTTAGGATTTCTAAGTGGCAGAAAGTAAGTGGCAGAACAGGAATTGTGTCCTTGCCTACTGGTCTACTTTCATGTCCTAAGTGATTCTCCAGCTACTGCACAGGCTCTCCTTCTATGGTAAACTTTTACTTCTCAATGACAGATTAATGAGAAAGCCAGAGATGATGTTTTGTGACCAGGAGTGTAGTCACTCCTGCTTGGGTGTATCCTGGTGTCTTGGACCAAGTAGAGATATCTGTCTCGGAATAGACTGGGAAATATGTATGGAATATAGATTTCAGAATATAGATTTCAGGAGTCAGTTGGGCTGTCAATGTGTGGCATATAATAGAGGCCTAATTAATATTTGTTAAATGAATGTATGTAATATAAATTCGGGATCACCAACCAAACCACTTTACAGCATACATGCATCTCACACATTTCTACCTACCTCTATTTATTCCAGACAATTTTGGGCTGCAGAATTGTTTCATAAGATGCTTTGTAAACCCACTATGAATTGCAAAATTAACACTGTTCTTTAGTGTACAGTTAGAAAGAGAGCAAAGTCCCTCCAGTGGACTAACAGAAAACTACAGCTTTTCTAATCTTAGGAAGGGAGACTTTTACAAACAGTGCTCACAGAAATGCTCATAGGCTTTCCTAGAATGCACAGACATAGCTGGCAGTCTGTTTCAGGCAGGAAAAAAGTTGTGCAGCACATATCCATGGGTGCTCAGCTTTGTGACAGACAGTATGTCCAGCTGGTGTCTTAGAGAAAGGGAAGAGTGTGGGTGTGCATGGGTGTGTGTTCATATTTTTTGTTATATGTTTTTAAAATAAGGTTGGTAAACGCATTCCAAATCATGTTGGTAAACGCATGGTCACTCAAAACTGGATTGTACTGTATATTTTGTCTTCATGTATTATGTATTACATATGTCCTAATTTTCAATCCTTTTCTTAATATGCCCTTAAAATTATTTTTTTACATCTTGGTGTTTTAATATTTGAATACATTTTTTTAAAAAAATTAAAACAATAGAATTCTCTGTAAACAGTATTCCAAGTGGTCAAAGCCAAAATATCCAGTGGAGCATGGTTTGGGGTTTGGGGCAATTCCAGGATTTACATCCCTGTTCTAAAGCTTCCCAGAAGCAGCACATGAATACTTTATTTTCTTACTATGTTTTTTTTTTTCTTTTTTTGAGGTAACACTGTTTAATAACTTTATGTAGGTTTCAGGTGTACAACATTATAATTCAACATCTGTATTCACTAGAGTGTGCTCTCCACTGAAAGTCTTGTGTCCATTCATCATCATATATTTAACCCCCTTTACCCATTTCAACCTCCCTCCACCCCCCTTCCCCTCTGGTAACCACCAACTGGTTGACTGCATCTATGAGTTGTTTTTATTTTGCATTGTTTGTTCATTTGTTTCTTTGTTTTATATTCCACATGAATAAAATCATATCGTTTCTTGTCCTTTTCCATCTGACTGATTTCACTAGCTTAATACCCTCAGTGTCCATCCATGTTGTGACAAATGGCAATATTTCATCTTTTTATGGCTGAAGAGTATTCCATTGCCTAGAGATACTACAACTTCATCCATTCATCCACTGATGGACACTTAGGTTGTTTTCGTATCTATGCTACTGTAAATAATCCTGCAGTGAACATTGGGGTGCATATATCTTTTTGTGTGTTTTCATATCATTCACATATGAATGAAAACACTACCCTTATTTTTTGAGGAATTTCCGTATCATTTCCTATAGTGGCTACAATAATGTATGACCCCACCAACAATGTATGAGAGTCCCTTTTAGTACTATTATTTTACAACATAAGACATCATGTCCTATGGGTATTTAATGATATTTCCACCAATATACTTCTCTATTAACAATGCACAAGAGCCTAATTTCCTACAATATATTTAGCCATGCAAAGGTCATCTTGCAGTTTGACCCAGACATTTCACTTTTTGAAT